ACTGCAGCTTACATTAAAGAAGTACGAAAGTCATTAACCATATCACTCACTTTCTGAATATACTCATTTTTATCAAGAAACAGGACACCATTCCCTTTATCCGGTTCACAAATAACAATTAATTTATCTTTTCATAAGTTCTTCCACATTACTTTATAATCATTAGATGCAAATCGATTAAATGCTCACCTTCTGTAAAATTCTAGAATTCTTAAGAAATCTAAAATTCCCAAATTCTCATACTCTAAAATTCTGCAGTTCTAAAAATCTAAAAGTTTAAATTGTACAGTTCTAAAAGTGTATAATTCTAATATCCTAGAATTCTAGAATTCTAAAATTCTAGAAGTCTAACATTCTAAAAGTAGGAAAATCTCATTGTTTAAAATTCTTAAATCCGAATTAAAACGGAAAAATTCGAACAGTCTACAGTTATAAAACCTTTTCCCCATCCACCATTATCCACATACTTGTGTTAAAAATGCACGTTTTAAAGCTGTTGATAAAATTAAAACTAAAAAACATTTCCAATGCAAAAGTTGTAGACGGTCGTAGTAGGCATCGAACGGTGCAAAAATCAATCGAAAATCTTAGCAGCAAAAGGATTGGGAGCAGTTGTACTGTGAGAGGGTTGAAACGTGTGTCTGGTAGTGAGGATATTCAATGGAGTGTTCGATTTTATGAAGATGATTTATCACTGTTTACTATCCAAGCGAGACGAGAGCTTCCTCCAGATTATTCTCAAAAATCATCAGCGTTTCGAAAAGCACGAGATGTTCATATTGATCGTCTTACAGACAACTTGATTTTGCATAGCGCTTTGAATGCGCGTGAGATGGCTTATACGATAAAAACGCAAGAGCGCCAGTTTGGAAAATGGGTGCGACATGTTCAAATATCCTCGGCTGTAATGATCGATACAATCAAAATTCAATATACCAACGGTGTTATTAAAATTTTGGGCCCTTTCCTTATATGAATAATTACCTGAAAAAAAAGATCATCTGAATTTTTATAAAATTTAAAATCATAAGTTGACTTCACATAATAGCTTTTCAGTCTGCTGGTAGTTTATCACAATAGAAGTTTTGTTTCTTGTAAGAATAATTCTTTTAATCTCTCGGCTATATTCCTCGAAGAACGTTCAGTGCTTTAAAAGCCTAGTGCTTCTTAACAGTTTCCAGTGCAATCTCTACGTAAAAGACTGGTATATTGTAAATGTCGATATTTGTGCGAAATTTCAAGATTTGGAACTATCCTGTTTCATTGGACACTTTTGGTCAATGTCTATCAGATTTTCAAAGCATACCCAGCTGTTTTCTCATTGTGAATGTGTGTTTTGGCTTCTGATACATAATCAAAGAATCTGAAAAATCCTTGTTCAAGAAATATTTTGGCTGGAATCGGAATGAAAGAAAGAGCGAGCTATGGACTAAACATTAAAAAAAATTCTCTATGGTACATTGGCTAAATGCTTCCGCCCCCCCTCCATCACGTTGTTTTACTGGAGGTAAGATTTTGAGGTGTTCAACCACTTTTAATTCATGATATTGACATTCAACGATGAGATTGACAAACAATTTACTATTGCATTGGATATCAATTGAACATCGTCTAGTATACTAAAATTCTTGGATAACGTTAAGTGTACAATACATCAGTCGTTAATGGAAGTGAGCTCACTTATAAAGAGCATTAACACTTTTTTCGCGTAGTAAAAACAGTTTTACTTCTCATCAACAAAATCATCCTTATTGCGCTTTATAAGAAATGCATCTGTCAGACATAAAACTTCCAAGTCACATTGAGCTACTCTATCAATCGTCTGCATCTGGCTTAAACTAATTTTTTGAAAGTCATACCGAATACTGTTAGGTAACGGCGTTAACAAAATTAAGTTCTCAAATAGCTCAATGTGAAAAAGATCAGTAGAGGAATGCAGCAAGGGTTTATGAAATTGTCAACAATGTCAAATAAAGTTCGACAACTTTTCTTTCAGATGTATCATTACAGACTGTTAAAATATAATAACTAAAAATCTGTCTGGTATATTAAAGATTAACAGTCTCATTTAGCAAAATAATGCGTTAGTAACACACATGCAAAATATTCTCATCATTTATTTTTCTTCAACATAAAAGAAATGCTTACTTAAGAAGTTACTAAATTAATTAAAAGTAAAAAAACAATGAAATTGATACGAAAGGTAAATAAAACAGCAAAATACATAAATTGGAACAATACAGATCTTTTTCTAAACGAAACTGAGAGAAAAAATTGAGCATATCTGTCGATAATATATGTAAACTGTAAGTCAAAAGTTTAAGACAATCTCTTTTTCTTACTCAAGCACGATATTTAACAGAAAATTAACTTGAGTACCTGAAAAAAGTTTCAACTAGAAGTAGTGCGCGTATGAAAATTTTATAAAAATTGCTGAGAGTTTAAACTCAATAAAACCCATATATTTGGAAACCAAGTCTTTAGATTTGATAAACAATGCCGTGGTACAGAACCATCATTCATAGAAAAACAAAAACGTTTCTGAGCTCTCATCATGATTCATTACAATGTATTCAGTTTACAAAAGATATCTAACGGTCAAAAGCAACATCGACAGACAAACAACAAAAAGACGGTCAGATATCTCTCTTAAATTACAGTGTTAAAAAAAAGTTGTGGAGAGCTGACAGATGTCTCATTTTCTCCATACATAATAGTTCTATACGCCTTTATTGTTTATAAATGCTTCCTGGTCGAATTTAGAGACTTGATTTTCCAAACATAGAAGTTTTAATGAGTTTAGAGTTTCATGAGGGAACCTATGGACAAGTCCAACTCCGATTCCAATGATTTATATGTCGATCGATAGAGCATTGCAAGCTAGTAAAAACCGTAAAAGGATTTAACCCCAGGGCAAGAAAGGTAAATTCTATACCTTTGCAAAGAAAGGTCGTGTAAAGCTGGGAGATGTCTCATTTTAATCAGAAATTTGCGGTCTACTATCATACCTCATTAAGAAAAGGTTTTGGTTCTTTTTTAAAGTTTCTGAAAAACTGGCTTTTCAGAAAATCGGGTCTTCAAGAGCCATGGGGTTAAATCAATTTACGGTTTTTACTAGCTTTCTATGCTCTATCGATCGATATATAAATCAGTGGTATCGGAGGTGGACTTGTCCATAGGTTCCCTCGTCACTAATTTCTATGCACACACTAATTCTAGTTAAAAACTCTTCCAGCTACTTAAATCACTTGTCATATTTCTTCTACATATCGCACTCCAGTAAAAAAATCAATAAAAATAAAGAAGACTACTTTAACCTTTTGGTTTCTATTTTGGCGTAGAGGCTCAGACAAACACACGCACGCAAAACAACTAATTGTTCTTCTGCAGAAGAAGAAAAAAAGAAGGAAACAGATAACGACTAAATAAACATAGAAAAAACTATGACAATGAGGCTTTTGGTTTAATTTCTCTAGATATCATGAAAAAATCAAGAAGAAAAACATTCTCTTGAGTTTGAGGAAAAAGCAGCACAAAATGATGGCCTACTTGAATACACTGTTAACACAGTCATTACTGAGGAAAAAAACAAAAAAGATATTTAATAAGGCACAAATAATTTGAAAAGAAATAATTAGTGACTATAAAAAATAATATAGAATGCAAAATTGTCGTCGCAAATGCAAACCGGTAAGAAAACAACAACAACAACAACAAAAAAAAAAAAACGGGTAAAAAAATAACATGTATTCAATTCAACAAAAAAAAAGAAAGTAAAAGAGTTATCTAGAGTAACTGAAAAGTACTCTGAAGAGTCAATTTCTCAGTTAGACATCTCGTAATAAAAATATTTTTGAAAAATCCTAATGAGTCAGAAGAAATCTTAACTAAACTCTAAAATTGAATGATTCTTGAAAAAAGAAATTTTTTCTCAGTTAGATCAACTTTGATTTTAGTACAAATAAATAGAAGGAAAAATATTCTGTAAGATAGTTATCAAAAAAACGTCTTTTTTTTTGTGATAACTTCAGATTTAAGTGAGCAATAGATCAGAATTAGAGGCCAAACATAAATTACACGTGCAATTATTTAAAAATTGCGACCTCAAAAGCTAAAACAATGAACAAGAAATAAGGACTGAAATTCTTCTCTTGTTCAGAGTCTAGTATTCTATCTAGAGTTACCTAAGCACTCATGATAATACCGAATTTGTTGGCTTCTTTTATAAAAGGTAGACTAGTAAATGATTATATTTTCAAAAAGTTTCCGTTTTCTACTAAATTCTTCTAGCGTGAGAGTAGAATAGATGTTGAAGAAAAACATCCTCGCTCAAAATCGATTTGTTTTCTTTTTGATAGTGGTTTTTTGATTGTGAACTCTTAAGTATTTGTCTCAATCTTGAAAATCTGTTTTGTTACTAGAATTACATAGAACTCTTAGCATACATCATTTGTTTAAAAACCTAATGCTAATGTACAGATACCAATTAAAAGATTAACGACAACTCTGCGCGATAATTAGTAATTCGAAATTTTTTGGACGATGAGACTTCATATCAAAATGTGTTGAGCGATTTAAATGATTCAAATTTTAAATGAACACAACAAGAATAAATAAAACAAGAATAAAATAGAGATGTGTGTGTGTGTGTGTGTGTGTAGATATGTTTATAATAAAAGATGAGTATCAAAGAAAAATTGAAGAAAAGATAAAAATTTCTTCTCAACAAAAACATTTGACTCGATCAATTTGTTTTTGGAGATTTGATCTCTCTTGATTCTATCAACAACAAAAAATAAACAATTATTTCTGTTATTATACACGTATTTCTTCAATATTGAAGAAAAACATAAAAAGAAAAAGAAAATAATTTTCTTTTATCATTTATGCAATGTGACATAGAATAAAGAATTTATAAAAGATTCTTTAAACAATAAAATATTTTGAAATTTTATCTAATTTGTTAATTAAATAGAAGAAGATGAAAGAAACATTAGAATTTAAGCAAATGCTTGCTCCATTTTGATCCATAAATTATTTTTTAGCCAATTTGTATTATAATCATCATATAAACCAGGATGAAGAGCGGCTTCGGGAAATATTACATAATCCCAGACAAATAATGACGATGTTGAACATTTAAATGGAAAAAATGGAGTAGCTGACCAGGTTTGAGATTGGATCACTTTTGGATTAAAATCCTGAAACAAAAAAACAACATCACAATGATCTCTGTGTTCATTTGTGTGTAAATTTAAACCAATGTCTTCATTGCGATCTTATAAACTTATACAACTTTTTACAGCTCCTGAACATTGATAGAAAAAAAAAATTGAAATCCTTGTAAGAAGAAATCGATCGTAGATTACTCGTTAAAAGCACCAGTTTATTAAATATTTCATTTAAATATAAGCTTTTAGAAAAAATAAAGAATGTTTCATAAATTCTGACCTTCTCCGTACTTTGACGATCACTGTTTTTCTTTTCAACGCTCAGATATAAATGTTTTTTTCAAAACATGCACTGTCAAATTTTCTACAAAATATGTGCTAAGTGTTTTTATTTCAAAACAGAAAAGTGAAAGATTCAACACCGCCAACTTTCCAACTAAGAAAACAGTTTTTTGATTTTTATTCTTTAATTTTTTAAGACATGCAAAAATTAAGCTCGTCATTTCGCAGCGCTTGAAAAACTCTATCTTCCAGTTATAATTAAAATTCTTCTAGAGCACAACTAGTTACATAAGAATTTTTTTGCTTTTAGTCGTTTTGTCAGAAATCATCGTTTTAGCGTAGCAGTTAGAAAGTTGGTGGTCCCGAAGTTTGTCAGTATTTTTCATAACAATCTTTCACTTTTCTGTTCTAGAACAATTTTTTTTATTTTAAAGGACTCAGACTAGAATTTGAATTTTTGTATTTCGAGTCCGATCTATTCAACTTTTAACACAAATAAACAGAGAAAAATGAAAAACGAAATAACAACATCTTCTGTTTTGCAAGCAATTGAAAATTTTGTTCGGGAGACAGACATGCAAAGTAACTTTATTTTCGACAAATCAAATATCTAACTCGATCTCAGTAAATTAAAAAAGAGAAATAAACCACCATCGTCAAAAAAGAATCTAAAAGATTATCGGACTCGGTCCTTAATGTTAAGGTCTGACCCATGCCTGCTTAGCACACATTTTATAGCGAATTTGACGATGCATCTTTTGAAGAAAAATAACCTATGTCTGAGCGTTGAAATGAAAAATAGTTATCGTCAAAATACGGAAAGGCTCAGAAATTATGAAACATCCTTTAAACGATTATAAACGAAATATTATAAACTATATTGAAAAATAGCGCATAGAAAGATCCTGTTAGTTGAACAATTACTTTTGTAGTCTGTTTTATGATCAAACATGTGTAAATATCATTAATTTTAAACAGATAGTCACAGTTTTACAATTCACACAGAGAAAACACAAATCAGAGATATCGGTTAGACTACGATCGTGTGTTTTATTTTTTCGAAATCATAACTTTTTTTGATTCAATGAAACCATTCGTTATTCTATAATAGAATATTACAAAACAAGTGAAATAAAATACTAATCTTAAAGCACTAAAAAGTAACAAAAATAATCCATCATTCTTAAATTCAATTTTATTTATTTTCTATTACCTGTGATGTATTCCATGATAATTGTAATGAACTATTTTGAGATATATCCAATATCTGATTATCATTTCTTATTTTTTCTTCAGTTTGTTGATTTTTAACAGCATCAACAATTGCTGGATCATAATGATCACTTTCGACAGGATGAGAACATAATTTTTTATGTTCAACAGCATGTATCCAATCAAATTGTTCATAATGTTGAACTGAACTTTCGTGTGTCAATGATATATTGTGAATAGAAGATTTTTGTACATTAGAATAACAGTTACCTAGAAATAGTATAAAAATAAAAATTGATAGTTAAGCAATAGACTAAAATGGTTAAAAAGCGTGTACAGAGTAGGATAAACTAGTTTTACCCATTTCATTTGAATTTCTTAAATCATTTTGGATTTGTTGTTCATGACTATCTGTACTCAACGTTGATAAGGATGACGGTGTCCGTGATATTGGAATTTGTTGAGATACACGATGATTTAATGACGTTTGTTCTTCACCAAAGACAAATTTTGTTGTTTTTGAAATATGATTGAAACCTGGTGGCGTCACTAATGATTCTTGCGAATATGATAAAGGCTGAAATACTGATAATGGATGATTTTTATTATGAAACGTTGGTGTTCGAACACGATTGTGTAATAGAGCAGGATTAAAATTAGATATTTGTCGTTGATTAGGATAAGAAAGTGAATGATTATTTGTTCGTTGGGTTGGAGATTGTGGTGAATAGCGACCTTAAATGAAAGAAGTGAGAATATCAATTTAACGGTAGAAACAGTATTTTCTCGTTAAAAAAGCGTTGACGTATGATTTACAGTGCAAATATATTCAGTGATCTATTTTCAATACAAAGCACTAAAAAAATTTTTGGACTTTCCGGCAAAGTCTTTGACGTTTTTTCACAGGCAACTTTCTACCAAAAATTTCCAAAAACTTTTTTTCGCCAGCCACTTTCTGCAAAGCAAAATTTTTAGCCTTTCCCATCTCGAAGAACAATCAGAAACTCCGGTCTGCTGATGGAAATTTTTAATTAGCAGTTCTGAATATCTGCTCAATGAACACATTTTAACTACTTTTAAGTTATTCATACAGTGTACTAACAAAATTTCTAACTATTGTTAGATGCCAATAATGGAAAAATAGAGTGGTATTATTCTTCCAGTGTTTTGGCATGACTGGATAGAGCTCATCGAGCTGAGTAAGAAAAAGTGGTTTTTAATTATTTTAAAAATCTTTTGACAAAAAAAAAATTGAAAAAACTTGAAGAGTCTAAAATTTCGGAAAACCCCTGAAATAAGTTTTATTCTGTCAAACCTTATATCAAGGGTTTCACGAAATTTTAGAAAACCCTTTAGTTTTAAAGTCTTTCTTGTACTTCTAACTTTTTGAAAGTGTCACTGAGAAAAATTCATTTTTTCTAAATCAGAAGCATAAAAATTGAAATTCGGCCCGTTATCATCAATTTTTTCTATCGAGACTACTCTATGCAATAGAAATATCATATTTGATCAAGCATCATTCTCACACTCAGTTTTTAATGCTGAATCTGAAAAAGATATTTTCAAAAAGTTAGACGCACCAGAAAGAAAAAAATTTGAATGGTTTTCCGAAATTTTACACTCCTCGAATTTTTTCAAAATTAAAAACTATCTTTTCTTACTCAACTCGATGAGCTCTATTCAGTCATGTCAAAAAAATGGGGAAAAAAATGTTGCTCCATTTTTGCATTACTGGCACCTTAGATGACTGCCTACCATTTTGAGGTCTACCAACGAACGCATTATCTTCTCTTATTTGTTGCTGTTGTAATAGAAGGCTGTCGGAAGATGGTCGTCTTTTTCTATCGTTTTGGTGTTCAAATATGGGTGATGACATGTTTGATGAAGACGAAGACGATGAGGAGGACGAATGTTTTCGTACATGTTGTATCGGGTAGGATATTGGAATCGATCGATGTTTCAAATGGGAGTTTCCACTATTTTTTGCATATTCAACTTTTAATATTTGACCATTGAATAGATAACCGTTTGTTTTCTCCAGTGCATATATAGCTTGTTCCATCGTTTCAAACCGAATAAATCCGTAATTATCACGAATTTTAACACATTCTAATAGTTTACCAAACTTAGAATAAAATTCTAACAAAAGTTGGGGAGTAATTTTTGCTGTTAAATTACCCAAATATAATTTAGTTGATGGAACAAGCTTAGAATTTATCATAGTAGTAGTACGGTCAAAGACTGAGTTGAAAGGTGTTGAATAATCCAACTGAAACAGATCAACACATTTAAGTGATATAATGATATTGAGAAATAACGACAACTACCTGTGAATTTTGGACTGTTTTCAACATTTTTAATTGATCAATACTTAAGTTCTGCTGCTGCTGCTGCTGTTGATGACTAACAATACTCTCAAAATTTCTGTCTCTCATTATGATGATTAAATTATTATAGACACCGTTATCCGTAATAAGTAGATCTAAAAAATACTGAGAATGTAGCCACACACTTCAAGTTAATAACAATAATAGAGTGTATATAGATTGTTGAGATCATGTGAACGATATATGCTCACTTTTATCTACGTCGTTTTTCCTATTCTGGTTAGGTTCGAATCATTAGAAAAACCAGTCATATCCGTTAATTCAGATGATGCTAGTGCTGAAATTAAACCTCTGAGTCGAACAGAGGATTCGGTTAGGAGGAGATCGCCTTGCTGGAAAATTTTTTTTGCTTTCAATAGTTGGTGAGCAGAAAAAAAGGGCATCATAAATATTGTTAAATTTTAATCACTGTCAGCGAACTTGAACCGATACTCTTCATTTATCAGTTTTAGTTTTTTCATAAACTACTCTATATTACCTTCAAGAATTCTGCAGAAAATTGATAGCCACGGCTAACAATAGACCAAAACTTCGTTTTATCCTATAAAAAGATTGTGTTTATTGACAAAAGAAATTGTTAAAGTAGTGTTCTAGCTGGAAATCTCTCGCCGTCTGATTTTTCCAAAATATTCCACCATATAAATCTGAACACTAATTAAACTTTAAAGAAAAATGCTCTGATGTTCAGGAAGTCGTTTTATCAATATTTTTAAGTAGTCTCGAAGTTTAATTTAGGCATGTCCTTGGCTTGAGTATCGGTACAAAAAACCTAAGCAGCAATTTCTTGACTTAACTATTGGTTTTTCATTGGCAGCAATGCTCAACATAAGCATAGGTTTAAGCGAAGTAGCTACTAGTTAAGATCGACAGATTAAGTTCAACAGCTCCTTAAGTGCCATGGAAACTTAGGGAAATTGATAAAACGACCTCCAGACTTTGAGGGTTGTATCAATATAAAACATCATAGTATGATGTTTTATATCGACACGCCAAAAGAAACATTTTCTGTTGTCGCATGAGTCATAACTTTCATTATCAATCAGTTTTTTAAATGCGAACATCTTGATGTATAAAAGAAAAAAGAAGTTTTATGTAAGAGTAAGACTTTTTCACTTCCACTGCAAATACTTATGATGGTCGCAGTCTGTACGTTGCAATCGATTATTATTACGATTGCATAATTCTATATATTTTTCTTAATTTTGACAGGCAACCATTGATGGGGGTGATAAGGTTGACCAATTAAAAGAGCATAGAGTACCTTGAAATAATCTTCCATCTTCGACAACCATCACGTTCGGAATTTAGAAAACCCAGCACGTAACTGACTTAAAATAAAAGTAAATTAGACGAACACCTTTTTTTGATATCCATCACTCTTCGCAACTGCGTAAAGTGCGACATCACCTGCACATAGTTTACAGTTTCTCAACAAACGCACATTTCACACTACTTTTACTCTTCATCTATTCGAGAGATCACTAGATAAAGTTAAAAATTTTAAAGAAATTTAAAATGAAAAATATAACGCTATACCCTAATTCATTTGCATGTGGGATATAATAATAAGAACTTCTCAGTTGTGTGATGGAACCGAAATTTTTCTTTTTTCAGTACTTTGTGAAATCAAAAGTACTTGTTAATTAAAAGTACAAGTACTGTTACACAGTACTTCGTGGTGGAAGAATCCGATATTGCAATCTTGTAGAAATACTTGCAAGTACTTGGCACAAGTACCGTCACAATGAGGCTCTTTAAGCCATTACATCTCAGCTCACAGAGTTGACGATTTGAGCGATCGCAACAGTAAACACCATCAAAGAAGCCGATCGTAATGGAAATTTTGCATGTTAACACGTCCTCGTCGATCCGCAGGTCTGCTTACATTACATCTTTATATTAGCAAGAGGCAAGTAGTATTATATTTCCTTAAGTAGGTTAGCGCTCCTAAACGTTTATAGATCGATTTACTAGAGATTATCGCAATCTATGACGTAGGTGTGTTGTATTTACTTCAGTTTTTACTCTTTGCTCAAGGCAATCGGTGTCAGGAGAATGCTGCGACATCTACAGATCATTCATCTAGCATATCATTGTTTTCTTTCACAGACAAAAGTGATCTGAGAGCTTTCGAGTGAATATGGTAGGAGGGAAAAAGAAAACTAATATGTATTTAAAAATCATATATTTTCCCTTTGCTGTCTTAACTATGGAAACTTTTTCATTGACGATTAGAAGATGGCCGTTACCGGTGGATTTAATTTCCAACTTTCCAGAATAAAGTGACTGGAAGGTTAAAGAAAGTTTAGGGATTAAAAGACCATTTTTTCTTCAAGCCGAACTACTGAGTAAAGTAAAATTGTATTTCAGCTTCTCTGTCCTAACGCTACGGTAGTTTCGTATACAAATCATAGGAACTCATACTACCAGAACTGCAGAATCTACCTGTTTGCTCCGACGATCGTCGGCCGAAAGCTTATTGATTTCGGGACGTTTTTTGAAAAACCGGAACTTCTTTTTGCAAATATATTGCAAAAAGAAATTCTGTTTGTAGATGATGTCGGTGAATTATTTGAAAAACTTTTTCTGTCGAGGAAAATTTTCCAGTCACAGGCAGATTCTGCCTCTCTGCGTACTACATTCTTATTTAAATGTTCCCTCACTGTTATGAAGAAGAAGCTCATGATTACTAATTTGTATATATTTCCTCTATAATTCAGTTTTGATTTTCAACACTTCAACTCAAAATCTAATGGAAAGTAACTTTGTTTATGCTGAAATAAAAACAGCTTCGAAGGCTGATCTATCATGAAATGCGGTTCCACAACACGTTTCTTTTACAGTATCCTAGTGAATGTACTTGGTACAAGTACTTGATTACTTGATGAGTACTTGGCAAGTATTCGATCGAGAATTTACCAAGATTCGTTACTTGACTTCCTTCAGCTAAGTACTTAGGCAAGTCAGTCAGCCTTTTCTTTTGCATTGACCACTTGTATATAAATACCACAATATCAATCGTTATACACTTATGAGCGTATATATTTTTACTCAGTTGAACAAACTTAGTAGCCGTGCATATATTTGCTCTACAAAGGTAGAGTATAGCTTCAGAAGGTGTATAAAATACAAAATAAAAATAAACGGAACAAGTACTTGACTGAACTTTTTCAAGTAAATTTACTTACATTGTGTCTGCCAAGTACTTATATTTTACTTGTTAAGTACTTTCTCAAATACTTGGAAAAGTCTACAAGTACGGTCCTCATTACTTAACCCAAGTACTTGCGCAAGTATTTGGTTCAAGTACATTCACTAGAGTATAGTATTGGGGGCTCAGACTTTAGATTTACTTTTTAGAAAAGGTACCAACTGCCGATTTGTCCTCGCAAACTGCACGCTAACTTTTTCAGATATTTTAATGCCCGATTTCGACTAGTATACAAAATCCTACGGATATGCGTTTGAACTAAATGTTTTTTTTCTCAGCGCAATTTTTCAAAACTGCCACTAAGCTCTACTTAAAGGATACAGTGCATAAATTTATGCATAATTGTATTGAGTATTTATTCAATTTTAGATTTTCTTTCTGTTCTATCTTAATGTCTCTGGCAATGAGTCGGCATTCTGTTCCTAGCGATGGCAAGAACGGTGGACGAAGAACAACGAATCATCGATCTACAGCAGCCATGAATGAAACGTCGAGGTAACTTTTTGCAATAAACATTGTATTCAAGTGTGTGCTGTAAGTTAGAAGCTTATTGATTAGTTTTTTCGCTAGCAATATCTGAAATAATATGAATTTCGTTTTAAAACGTCTTACATACACTACGAAATTAATTTTTTGAAGGGAATCATGGCCTAGTAACTCGCCACTGATGCAAACTTTCTTTTCTTCTAGAAACACATCAAATATTCATCATCCGTCAGCATATCATAATGACTCAAATGGTCATGACATCACATTGCCAAATCACGAAGTAGAAAATGGTAAGAAATATATCATCATTTTGAGTATGAAGCATACGTTTGCAATGTTTTATTGAACTCATTTTTTTCTTTTTTTTCGCCCATAATGTTGTCGGCTATTGTTAGTTACTATTTTCATATTTGAATGCTAAGCATCTGGGAGAGATGAATTTGACAATTCTTCAGGCAATATATTTGATTTTTTCTTTTTTTAGATGCTTCAACGAACTTAAATGATTCTCTCGGTTCTCGTTTATCACCATTTAGCAAACTACCACTCATTGGTAGTACTAATTATAGACGATTAAATCATCGGTTATCGTTATTTGAAACCAACGAACATTCATCGTCTTCTTTCTCTTCAACTTCTCTACCTCGTCCACCAGATGGGAGACGATCAAGCATGACAAATGAACAGAGGAATCCTCGTACAAAATTTATTGTTAAAAATCAAACAACTCTTTCATTATCCAGTGATATTCAATTGGCAATTCGTTTACCCGATGGGGAACGTTTAGAAAAAACATTTCGTTCGACAGATCGTATAACAGATGTTCTAAAATATGTAGCATCAAAGGGTAATAATTTAGACAAACAAAACGTTTATTTAAGTAGTGGAGAAGTACCAAAACGAGAATTTAAAGATTTGAATATGACACTGGCTCAAGCTGGAATTGAAACACGAACAGTTCTTTTTCTTGATCGATCATAAATAACAGACATGTTTAACAAAACTCAAATTTCTCTAGTCTATTACAATCAAAGTACATTATTGTTATCATATCATATATAAACGACCAGATTTCTTTCAGCTCTTTGCTTGATTATAGTTATTCATAATATTTTCTTTTTATAAAATCAACCTTGCTTTATCTTGATGATAAATAACTCCTGTGATGGATTTCATAGTATCTTGTTTTCTATTGTATTTCATTTTTTATCTGCTCAATCAAGATAACTCACCAATTTTCATTCCATTTTTCTATTGTATTTTGTATATACAAGCCTTTTTCTTATCAACTTATTTTAATCATTTAACATCAACTATTTAAAAAGAATCAAGTAATATTCTGTTGTTTGATTGCCTAGTTGTCAATTCAATGTGATAATGCAAATATTGTGCAAATTATTCACTAAGATCATAAAATATTCTATTTAGAGTAAATAACTGTTCATTTAAAAGCTAGACTCATTCCTACTAAACATATGATAGAGATTTTTTTATTTTTTGAATTTTTCGCTGCATATATGAAAGTTTTTTTATGTAACAGACAGAAAGAAGATAGTATCATATATTGTCTTTTGTAGGTTAAATCTGTCAATTAGAGACATAGAACGTTTAAGCGATTTTCTTCCAGAATAGATGGGGAATATTTCCTGTAATTAGTAGTAAAGCAATTTTTAGCCTCAGATAGGAGTAAAATTCGAATCATTACTAGAATAAGTGTTTATAAAGACATCTGACTATTTTTTAGCGAACTTCTAAGAATGAGAAAACCGAGAATTAACTGGTTAATTAATAATATTTGCCAACCGATATTTGACGATTCTAGAGAGTGTTCAGTTTATCTGGTCTTAGAAACACAGTGAAAACTTATTTACTCACAGGTGTCTGTTTTCTGGTATTTTTCTTGTTCTGGTCAGCTCCAAGGTCAGAACAAGAAAATGATAAGACTCAATCAAGATAGTCTTTTTATCTACTAATCAGACAAACAGTAAATCTTGGTTTGGTCTTGGTATTTTCTGAGAAACAGACATTGGTGGTCTAGTTCAAGATTAGAGCTAGGTTTTTATTTCATAATCACCGTTTTATTCTACTAAGTCACACAGTATATAGTGACCACTAATTCTTCGAAAAATTTCAGAGTTATTCTCATAGGCGATGAATAATGTCTTAGAGATTTCTGTGTTGAACAAGAGATACCTAACAACATTCCGAGTCTAACGATCACAGTGGAAGGTCTCCAAAAAACTTTCTGAGTTTCTATTGATTTTTACGCAGTATGGGCAACTAGTGAGAAGCACACCTAATTTTTGTACATATATAACAAGTTCGCCGTCTTGATTTCTTCCACTGACCAGGCGAAAAACAGATTCTGGCCAGGAAAGCACGCAAGGACTTTTTCGCTTATAGGTATCTGACCAGACACACTGAACATCCTCTAGCGAAGGAGTGAGGTGAGTAGTTCGAATGATTGTATAAACAATACTGCAAGCGTTGTCTTTGTAGTTTGGAATTGCATTGGAATTTTGTAAGCGATTTAGAAAAATTGACAGATGAGCATAGAATAGAAAGTTTAATCTAGAAGTGAATTATTTTGAGACTTGCCCGTTATATCTGGCTCAAATGTCGGTTAGTCTGCGGCGACATTCCATGAAAAATAATTTTAACAGAAGACATTGGATTTTCACCGTGGTATATATATATCATAGGATCTTATTGTATTTTTTAAAACTTCATTAATCGAAAGTTTCTGATCATAAAAAAAAATACTTGTTTTTTGTCTTGTAAAAGTTATATTAGCACATTGCCTAAGCGGAGACAATCCATATTTATCAATATTTTTACTTATCAATTTTAGATTTCTTTTTTTTAATTCTTTTTATGATTTTTTAGACATGATCAGCCGGATCATTATCAATGATTAAAAGTGTTCGAGTGTCTCGCCCGATTTGAACCGAGGCTTTTTCTCAATTGGAGCACATCATTCATCCGAATCAATAGAGAAGAAAATTGAACATGTGAAAATTAGATTGACTAACAGTTACAGTTCTACAAACTGACTACAGTGTGTACATTCAAACATACTGGTTTAAACGATAATTTTAATTGTCAAAAATTCCAATACTGAAACGACGTTCATACCTATCGAGTTATCATCGAATACCATTTTGATTCTAAAATATTTTTTGACGTTAAAAATTTACATATTCATTGATATGTATTACATAATGTGTACACAATACTAGACCATGAATTTCATAAGTCCTCATGTTCATTAGAAACAAAGAATTCTTTAAATTCAGATTTTAGACAGAGAATATTTAACGAATTACAACATCTATTATTATATTGTTGACAATACACCGACATTACCGCGAATGACGTTACCGCGCACGACATTATCGTGAAGACTTGTTCATTGGAAAAGAAGAATAAATGAGCCTGATTTTGTATTTTGTACATCATGTTTTGAAACCTGAGTGAAGTTATGTGGTTAATAATCATTATGTGATACAGTAACAGACATACAGTTTCGCATCATGAATATATGTTTTGTGTGAAACTACTTTTCGAACTCACTCTCACACTGCGCGGGGGGGGGGGGGGGGGGGGGGCGGGGCGGGCGCGGGGGGGGGCGGGGCGGGC